TAATAATAATAATAATAATAATAATAACTATAATGATAAGAGCATGAGAGGTAATCGTAAATAAAAACATTACCTCTTCTTCTCTCTTCTCTCTCCCCTGCAAGTACACTAACACTAACACTCACTCACAATCACTCACTCCCTCCCCATTCATTGTGCAGGGGCTTTTTAACTGCCCGCCGCTCCACCGATGTCCTCCGGCGGCGAGAGAATCCACGGGTCCCGCAGTAATTCCCGCGTGCTCGGCCGCATTGCCAGGTCCCGCTGCAGACACCGGCGCAGGAACTGCACGGCCTTCTCCGAGAGCCCCTCGCGGGGGATCATCGCCGGGTGAAGTTCCCCGTGCGTCTCCGCGACCCGCATCATCATCGCGTATTGATTCCGCACCGCCGCAAAGGGCGGCTCGCCCGTCAGCATCTCAATCACACAACAACCAACAGACCAGACATCACTTGCAAGTCCAACGGTGTCACTGGCGAGAATAACTTCCGGGGCCATAAAGTAAGCCGTGCCGGCGAGGGTGGAGTGATTGTGAGCATCAATGAGATGTTTGGCGGTGCCGAAGTCTGAGATTTTTAAAGTGCCATTTGGGTCCACGAGAAGATTATCACCTTTGAGATCACGATGCATGATATTGCGACTGTGTAGATACGCCAAACCACTAAGCATTTGACGTGCGTAAATAGATGCCTGTTTCTCACGAAATGGGCCAAAAGTGCGTAGGACACTACTGATACTTCCACCAGAGACATACTCCAAATAAATACGCAGACAGTGATCATCACATTCCTCACCCAAACACTTCACAATATGAGGATGATCCAGTTCCTTTAATAATGCCAATTCCTTACGTACTGCCTCCACCGCTTTACTACTAGCTCCATTACCGAAGGCAATTTCTTTCACTGCAATGATTTGATTTGTGTCTCGGTCCATTGCCTGAAAGACCACTCCAAAACTACCTTTTCCAATCAATGCCTTATGTGCAAGACTCACACGCAGTGGTCCACGCTCTAATGACTCCTGTGAACGGGTCACACTGCTGTGGGTGACACTTCCTACACTGCTACCTTGCCATCGTGACCCTGTTCGACTTCCACTGCTCTCACGATTCTTATCTCGTTCTTTTCTACTATGGGATTTACGCCGCTTCTTTGGTGAGCATGTAAACTCACCAACACCCGTGAGTTGATCTGGTGCGTTTGTTGGCGACGGCACACGTACCGGTTGTGGGAGACATGATCGCAGAGTTAACACGGGGGTAGTGGGTTCTCCCGCCTCTACAACAACACTATCATCCACTACTCCATAATCTTCATTAGAGTGCATAAAAATGGATGATACATTTCGACGACGATTCGTAGTACTATTATTCGAATTAATTTTGGGAGTGGCAATCGCCAATGGTGTTGTTGTTGCGGCTACCAAAGAACTATTCTGCGTTACTAGAGGAGGATCGGATGATAACATTTCTAAACTGCAACCATTCGTACCCCGCAAAGTGGAGCCAAGCGGTGGGCTACCGTAGTCACTACGCAACAATGAATGTAAATTACCCCCATTACTGCTGGAAACTGTGGAATCACCTTGCAGAGCTCCAAATGAATCACGCTGCAATCGTGATGATGTACCAATCACTCGCTTTTCAAAGCATAACCTAGATGGGGTATTATTGGTAGTCTTGAACATTACCCTTGTTTTCTTTTTTTTTTT